TATTATTTACAGGACAATACGTCGAATATAATTCGAGGGAGTAGTTAACATTAATAGAGACTATATTCATTTGATAAATTTCTCTTGCAGATTCATCCATACCTTTCGTCGTCCATTTCAAAGAGATCGTTCAACGTCACCTTGGGTGAATCTAAAGTTATCACAAACTGGACGAAACATGAGAAAGGGAAGAAAGACCCTCGTTGTCCCTGTGTAAGAAAAAAACTTCGTTGGTTCGCTTTCCCAATACGTCGAGAGAAGAAATGTCAGACGTTTTCGTTTTGATAAAAAAAAGTTACCTAAATTTCATAAAAATTTTTTTTATGAAAACTGTTCGATTTGCTACCAACAAATGTACACTTTAATTTTTAACGAAATTATTATAACGCGGGATACATTTTTTCATATATTTTTTCATAAATATGAAGCTCACTTTGCTCTTCAGCGCATATTTTAATAATACCGCCAAATGTTCTCCAGTTTACTCGTTAATATACAATTATTATTCACGTCCACTGTGAATGACACGTAGCTAACAGTCATCGAGCGGGGATTTCCAAGCGTGTAAATCAAACGCAATTCGCGGCTCTCGCGAATAATAGATTCGCCGAAGATTTTCACGATGAAGCGTGTTCAAGTCGATGATGCTTGAGGACGCAGAGAATCGTCGAGGATTCGACGAAAAAATCGCGCTGGCGAACGAAATGTAGAATTTCAATTGTAATATCGCGTTGACGTCGCGGCATTCATGAATCACGACTTCATCCCCCCACCCTGTGTCGCTCGTCATCGACGTAAATTATTCGACGGTGCTTGGAAAAACGTTGATCGACACTGGCCAAATTTATTCGATTACCGTGTATAATAATATCGCGAAACGCACACGCGGATAGGAAATCGGTGTAGCTGACTGCGTAACCCCTCTGAATCCAAATATGACAGGAAGTAACATCGACAGGTGTCTGCTGGCTCGTATAGCGAATTTAAAGAGAATTTTCGATTCGCCAATGATATTCCAATCGGTGTCTCGATATACTGTTAAAATTAATAGACGAAATTCCTCTTGGAAACGTCTAACCAAAGAATTTGTGAAAAACGAAGCGGAACATTCTGTTTATGTACGTTAAGGGGTAACTCTCGTCGTATAGGGATATAATTAATAGGGTAATGCCGGTGTTGTAGATTGATAAAGTCGGTTATGAATAGTTGGTTATTGAACCCGCCGGATCATGAGCCGAGTATCGTAACGTAAATGGAGCGATATATTATCATCATAATGTATACGAAACACTAAAAGCCAAGCCAAGAAGCGTCGGGGGTTCGAGCATACTTGCCGTGGACTTTGATCGATCACTGGGAATGGAAACTCGGTTACTCGTACATTACCTTCCCCTATAGTTTCGTCAAAGAGCTTCTTACACCGCTTCTGAAACGCGAAACCTGTTTCTCGAAATTCTATGCACAGAAGCATCATTCCCGTCTTGTTAAGAATCTAACGGAAATGGAATTTCTTGCAATTCAAATGCAAATCGAGAGATTGCAATTAACTAACTAATGAAACGATAAATCAAGTAGCAAAATCGCAAACACTCTTGACAAATTGTACGAATAGTGATATAATTTAATTTCTCTCTGAATTGATTGAAACGAACCGCGGCGTGTCTGACAACAGACGGCTCGTTTCTCCTTGGGCGTTTTAATCCGTAGAAAGTCGCGGATAATCTTCGCGGCGGTTTCTCGTTTAAAATCGTCGTCAATGGAAAAAATTTGTAAGCCGGTGTTATCCCAACGCGTCATCCGTCGCGTATTTCATTTCTCTGCAGTCGTTGTCGAGTCATAAATACTTTAATTGCAAGGGGGAGAGTTTCTCCTTTTATCTGCCCGCGGAACTCCCTTCGGCGAAAAGAATCCTTCGAGGGTATTTAAAGTCGCGTAGTTACTTTCGTAATTACTCTTCGTTTCGTTCGCTATGCTGGCAAACGGATGGAGAAAACAATAAAAAGAAGAAAAAAAAAAGGAAAAGAGAAAGGAGGAAAGAAACGAGAGATAGAAACGAAAACGAGGAATCGCCGTGGTTATAATGCCTTCTCTCTACTACCTCTGAGAGTTGAATATTTATGTACTGAACGTTCTCACTGACGTGTGCAATTTTCGGAAAGACCGCGCAAGAAACCGTGCGCCCGTGTCGGTCCCTTATCATCTATTCGCAATCTTCTGCTCGATGATATAATTTATGAACGGTCGGAGAACGATGAAGATACTTTATTTTTAACGCAAACAGGAACCGTGTCATTATTTCCATATTTGGCTTTAGTTATTAGTGAAAGGACAGTCGACATTCCAAGTTGAATAATAGAATTTTCTGATTACAAATAACGTAACATTGATATTTCGAATGTCAATACTTTTATTCGATCTACCGATCAATTAGTGAAGATATGTTATTTGCAGAATGAAATTAGAGAAGAGATGAAAATTTTTTATTACACATCATTGGATTGACATGTCGGATCGAATCTTTCTACAGGATAATATAAAAAACGTTTTCATTTCTGTCCACTGACTAATTAATTATAAAAAATTTGTATTATACTTCATTTCTCAGAAAGAACCTTCGTTTCTTGAAAGACGTTCTTATTACTTCAAAAGTAAAGACTGTGACAAATTGTGACAGTAAAGCAATTAAATGCTTCGTTCTCCATGTAAGACGATTACAACAGTTTAAATCCAATCCGACAGAGCTGTCCCCGACGTCTTCGTCTGTTTTTATACCTTCTTACCAAAGTACAGTTCTCAACTTCGTTTCTACACTCGAGGCAATCGCACGTACGAGGATACGCATATTTGCGCTACGGTCGTTCGCTCGTTTTTATTGTTTGAAAATACACTGTGGTCTGTGGTGGAGAAATTCTTACGATGTTTAAACAACGGTTAGACGAATGCAAACGTAGATGTTGACAAAAATTGTTTATCATTGGTTAGGTTACGCTTGAACTTTGATTACGATTCAACAAAACATCCCTTTGATGTAAAACTCGCCAAGGAGAATAACACTAAAATTTCTACAAATTGCAGTTCATTCAAAACCAATTACAATCAGTATATGTATCGATGAATACAGTGTTTGAACAAATATAAAGTAAATGCCTTTCTAAATTGCTCTCAAAGAGAATGGCAATTCGTTTGAATTAATCAAAATCTCCAAAGAATTCCCGAAACACGATCAGCATGATTAATTCGAAGCCACGAAACCGCGCCATGCGAAACCCTCGGACGTCTTTCTGAATCGGTCTAGTCGTAGAAGCTCGACATTCTTCCCTTGCTCGGCGGCATCACGACGTGCCGACGTGTGTATCAGCACCGCGAAATGCAGCGTCGACGTGAACGTATCGTCGTCGACGACGTATCGTAGCCGCTAATTTCCTCGCGGAATCGTCACACTCCGTTTGTCACCACGTCCGGGAAGCAATTCCGTGGATTCTTGCCTCCGAGGAATGCTCCCTTTGATCGTAGCAGCTTCGCTCGAGCACTGCTCTTAACAAGAGGCGACGTATAACTTGCCGGCCCCGATTCTCCCGTTATATAGCTGCGCACTCTCCTTTGAAACACCTTCCTCCTTGGAACAGCCGAGGCGAAACGCGACATTTATCAAAAATTCCGGGCGCGATTGTCTCGGCCGAGTATCGTCGTCGTCGTCGTCGTCGTCGTCGTCGTCGTCGTCGTCGTCGTCGTCGTCTGAAACGACGAGCGTATCGTCGAGCACGCTTCGGGGCCTTGCGACCGACGGCGATTGACGCCGGTCATTTTGCGGTCGGCCGACACAATGGAGTCTGGCAGTGAATCTTGTTGACGCGAGCACGAGAGATGTCATCTCGTGTGACTGAACGACCACCAGCTCCGCCACATCGTGTACTTTGGAAGTTGCATCCTTGTCAGGAGTCCATGTTACAAGAGAGATTGTTACGACCTCGAAGGTGCTTACGAAGTGATAATATCGAATAGAACTCTTTGAACGATGATAATAGGCCGAGAGAGAGAGAGAGAGAGAGAGAGAGAGAGAGAGAGAGTAATAGAGAGGGTGAAAGTTTACAACACAGATAGTCATCGTTCTTGTAACTCCTCAGTCTCAAATGAGAAGTCGAACGAAGATCGACGAAGAT